ACATCACTAGCTTCTCCTACCATTAATCCCATGCGAAGGTCTTCGTAGACTTCCCTATTTGGATATCCACAAACCATGATGCCCCCGTCAGCAATCGCATCAGCCGAACCTGGCGGCCTAAATGCTCATCCCTGGTTTGACCTGCAGTGGACTGTCGATGATCTGAGCATATACTTCTGTTTTTTCAATCTGACGGTGGACACCGCAATCGGCAAGGAAATATCAGGCCGCAGCTTCCAAACTCGGTGATGATCTCGATGACCTTTGCATTGTCTCTCCCTCCTACTGGACCCTCTCCTGGACGTTTTTTTCTCCTAAACCCCATACCCCATTAGATCCCCCCCTAAAGAGCGACAGTCTTTCTCCTTTAAACTCCCAAGGAGTTTCTTTTCACTGTCTGCTCAGTAAAAAACTATGTAACACCTCATTGCTCGGGAAAATTGGCTTCGCCAAAAAACTAAGATATCAATTTTTTTGTTACCACGACACATGTGTAAAAAAAGGGAACTCAAACGCAATCTACCCACACATCTTTTACATAAATGTATACTGATACTGATATATCTCTCTCACACGCAGACAGTCAGACACTCTCAGACGCAACTGGACGAACATCTGGCTTTAGCGGTGTAATAAGGGGGACGTAATTTGCTATCAAACAAGTACAAGAACATTTTTTGCATGCAGGTTTTCCACAAAATATATTTGAATTTATAAAGACAGTCAACATCAATGATAAAAAGGAATGCCAATCAAATAGCCTGTTTATACATTAGATACGTTTTATTTGTGATCAGAGCGAAGATTGTTAAAAGCCCGCATCCTACTATGACTGAAATGACTTCAGCATAGACTAGACGATAATCAGTATCACAACCTGAGTCAATGCCGATTAGCGAAGGGTATCAATCTTTCGCATATGTCGACATGTTGCGTTATCTTTGGCAACTACTGTACTGCATTTTGTTACACAAAGCTTGGTAGATTTACTACGTTTTTCTTTTTCCAATAATAAGGTGTTGCCTGATTACTGCATTTATCTCAATTTGGTGAACGTAAAGCAACATTTTTTGTACTCGAAACATACATTACTAAAATGTTCTGTTTTTTAATAATGATTTTTATAGTACAACACAAACAAGACGTTTTTTTCGCAGTGTTTAACGGAGTAGTAACTATCTTTGATATCAACAAACGTAAGATTTGGCTCTGTTGCGTTGCTTTTTTTGCCACAAGCATACAGAACTAAACTGCTATGTTATCTAGTTTACAGCATTTTGCATCTCCAGTTAACACACTGAACAAAACAGAAGACGACAAAACATCCTCTGGGACAAGTGGTGTAGTTGTCCGATGTTTCGAACTCTACCGAGAGTTCATTTTCAAGGAATAAAAATTTGTTTAGCTCATTGCATATATAAATCATACCAGCCTGTAGTGACCTTGCCCTTCACCTCTGCTCTCAATCTGCTGCTGTTGGCATCAGGGGGATCGATATACCTGCTAATTGAATCCGTGCGTGAATGCCACACTTCAAGCGAGAAGTTTAGGCCTCTGACTGACATAGTATTCGCAAGTGTTCGAATTCGGAGCCGTGCGCTGGAGTGAGGGGCTAAAAAGGAAAGATTGTCCTTCTTCGCACGGCGAGTCCGTGCTAATGCATTCTCATGAGAACCCGTACACCGATTTCACCAACGTGATTGGCTTGGCCGCATAGACAGGCGATGCGGAAAATGATAACGCATTGTTGGCTAATAGGTAAGGGTGGATAAGTTGCATGCTGATAATCGCTACCTCTCTGCGAGTGACTCCAATCGGAGATTTGCTGAGCAGTTCAGTAAATTCTTCGGATATACCAGCAATGAAGGGTATTGCTCGCTAATGTGTCAACTCTGACTTTCCTGTTGGTCTTCTTCGTTAGGCTCGTTGCCTGTATTTATTAAAGAACGCGCCAGAATAGCTATTCATTGTGAAAAGTTTCAGCAGATACTTAACTTCGGCCTTCTTGTAGGTTGGTTCGCTGCAGTGAGGTCCAACTTGGCCATATAGCTTTCGCAAGCAGCTGTATTTGTGCGAGGCAGGATGGTTGCTGAGGTAACTAGGAATGCGAGAGGTGTTTGTCACCTTCCCGTTAACTGTTCTTTTGAGCCCCTACCGTCTTTTCTGCACACCAACACGTCCAGAAATAGCACCTGACAGTCTTTTTAGTCCTCTTTAGTGAACTGAGTGTCAGGGATGATCGACTTCAGACGCATATTTAGAAACTGCCAGGCTCAAGGATAGTCTACTCCAGCGTGGTTCCCCAGCTCCGTTTATTGACAAGTATAGCAACCCCTTACGGCAAAATGATATGAAATAGTTAGCTCAAAAAAACCGTTTGCACATCCTTGCCCTTTATGGGTGACAACACCTTAAACAAATCAAGAGGCGCCTACTTAACACCATTGAAAGGACCTACTTTGCTGCTGAACTCGTATTTTGCAACTCGACAATAACCTTTCCAATTTCAATTGCGAAGGATGCATTGCCATTGTAAGCCATTTCAAGTTGTGTTGATGAATTTACATGCACTTGTTGATGCAAGTACATATGGCGAACACAAAGGCAATTGGCGGCCAGAGCTGAAGGGCACTTGCCGAGTTGGCCATTAAAACAGGAGAATAGGGTTCTCCGTTCTTCCATTACTAAACACTTATAAGACAAGGACCGTTCTGTAGACCCCAAAACATCCTTTCGAGTACTTATTTGGGCAGGCCTATATCGTACCTTGCGCTAATTGGAGGCAGCCTGTATAAGACGGTGAAAACGCGACCTATGTAAACAGCTGGAGTATGGTGTAAACCTTATTTTGCCCCGGTAAGATCCGGCTCCCTGATTCACACATTCTCCTGCCTGCATTTCTGCTTTAACGTTTTTTCCCTATTTCACTGTCTACAATGTTTCAATTACACACGTTACTGATAAGTCTTATTAGCCCATTGACCTTCCTGACCTGTTTCTATGACTTCATCTGCATGAATTCAATTGTTGTATTCTGTCATTCGTTGGTCACTTTAGCAGTTAGAGGACGCAGCTTATGAGAACTCAACAAGTTTATGGTTCCACTAGGTTCTCTGTGAACTCCCAAATTCTGTCTCAACTAATAATGACAGACGTGCCATCTACATACCGGACCTACAATCCTGAGTGAGCTGTACATATTTTTCATTACTTGACAAATAGTTCGCTTGTGAGCTCAACACTTCCGACAAGTACACTACTGGTCCCAGAGAATACTTTGCCGTCTTCTATTCAGTAAACTGGGTCTCGAATATTCTCAACCATTCAGAATTAACAAAAAACCCAACCTCAAATGTGTATTAAAACATGCATTCAATATTTGATCTGCATATTTCATTAAATATACAATCTGCTGTACGATCAGTCCGCAAATCAAAGGATAAAATAGACATCCGTATTTACTCCCTCGCCGTCTTCAATCCAGCCAACTTTCATCGTCGCGATGTGCTATGCGGGTGGATGCGGTATCCAACTGCAGATATATTTGAACCAGTCGATAATCTTTGTAAAGGACTTTGCGAAGATGAGTGGCCCCTGATCCTTCCATTCCGCCACAAGTTCCTGCACCCACTCCGTCACCACGCCTTTTATGACTGCCAACTCGGCTGCAGGATTGTCCTTGATTTTTTGGAAGTAGGCCATAGCCTTCGCCCAGTGCTGCGTAATGTGCTGCAGCCAATCTTTCACTCGCTGTACTAAAGCCATGACACTTTTCGTAAGGCTTAGTGTCTGCTGAATCACTTTTCCCGCCTTTTCTACATAGGCTGTTACAATGCTTGTTATTTCTTGTTGTGTCTCCTGCAAAACTTGTGCCGGATTTCCCTGCATATTCGGCGCAGTTTGACCCGGCTCCCCTGGCTTATTCTGACTATTCAGCAAATTTTGACCCTGATTTCCCTGCATATTCGACGCAGTTTGACCCGGCTCTCCTGGCTTATTCTGACTATTCGGCAAATTTTGACCCTGATTTCCCTGCATATTCGACGCAGTTTGACCTGGATCTTCTGGCTTATTCTGACTATTCGGCAAATTTTGACCCTGATTTCCCTGCATATTCGGCATATTTTGCACAAGTTGTCCCGGATTTCCTGCCAGACTCTGTAACTTCTGCAAAAGTTGCTCCAGCTTTCCTGGCAGATCCGGTATATTCGGCATAAGTGGGCCCTGTGCAGTGCATCCTGTGAAGCAGAGGACGCAGGCAAGTGCCGCCACGAGCCACGTACGTTTTCTGCCAAAACTGGTGGAGGTCATGTCAAAATGCCAATTTCCCTTCGTGCGTGGGTCTCTGTGTGGGTCTCCAATGACGACAACGCAATAGATGATAACTGCTCAGCGTTAGCGACAGCTTGAAGACCACGGAGTTGGTGATTTCTCCTCACGCACAAAGTGTCACTTGGGACTACACAGGCAGACCAGCAAGCGACACAACCTAGTAAAATCGATACCACAGCACGTGGCGATGATTTGAAATGCCCAACTGCCAACCAATGGTTAAATAGGAAGTGGTGTGGGTATGGAATTTATGTTTGTTGTCGCCAGCTGGGCACAATCTATTCAAACTTAGTTTTAGAAGACGAAATGGCGAACATAAGTTTGTTTTCGATAATTCTCATCAGGCCTTTACATTTATATGGTATTAAGTAAAAAGATTATGCGAGTTGGTTAAAAAATAGAACAGTTGTAAGGACAGGGAGAATGGGGAGGGGGGAGGGGCGTCAGAATCTGATCAGCTTTAGGGGGAACTAGTAGTCGGCTGATGTGCTAAGCTGCTGACTGTTGGATTAGCAGCTTTTGACCATGGTGGCTGCGGCGCCGCGACGAAGTTCTTTTGGGTGTACAGGACCGTTCGGCGTAGCCTGATGACGGCCACTTCTGCAGCAGCAAACGGACGCTGTCGA